AGACTATTTGATAAAGTGGTAAGAAGTTAGTTCGCGATTACATGAATAGTGAACACTGGTTTACATTGTGTTGTGTGTTAATCCGATAGTCACGAGAAATCTATAATTCAGGTCAAGTATCTCCTATATATCAATTAACTAATCAATTATGAGGTCATATTCTCACACAGCAGTCACTATTAACTAAATCGTGAATGATTGAAATCGAGTGATAAAAGTACAAATCAATATTACCTCTGAACAAGCGAGTTATTTATTTCTATCCTCCTAGTTAGAATTGTTAATTCGCAATAGTATGTTCTTTATAGATAATATGTAAACTTGAGATTTACAATGGGGAGAATACAAAAATACAGTGATACAACTATCTACTAACTAAACAAACAAAACACAAATGATAATAAACTGCAAAATAGTTACAGAAGTTTTAGCATTGCCAGTAAACGCCACACTGTACCAGTATGTTTATTTCATACTTTGATTCTGAGAAAATTCCAGAATTTTGTTATTCCTTCCGATGTCTTCCGATCAATGTTTCTCATGCGGATCTAACAGAGAAGATCTTGCAAATCAATGAAGAACATACTACTGCGAATTAACAATTCTAACTAGGAGGATAGAAATAAATAACTCGCTTGTTCAGAGGTAATATTGATTTGTACTTTTATCACTCGATTCCAATCATTCACGATTTAGTTAATAGTGACTGTTGTGTGAGAATATGACCTCATAATTGATTCTTTAACTTAAATAGATAAACTAAAGTACATATTAATGTGAGCTGAACTAATTAGTACTTTGTATGATTCTCATTTATTTGAAATATCTAGTCTACTTTTACTGGAGCAATAAAGATTTCAGTTTTTCTGCTTGGTGATATTAACTAATTCAGATTGTGTTGATTATTACTTTTCAGTTACTGTTTTATTCACAAAGCTATACGGACTAATCTAGAGGGTCTGTTATTGACTGAATGAAAAGGGTATGTATTTCTTGTGTTTCTGAATCAATGTAAATGATCACTACGTTTTCATTACCACTCAATTGTGCTCATGCTTTCTTCGCTGTTCTCTTCTCACTCCACTTATTTATTCAGTATCATTTATACTACTTGTTGCTAATATGCAGTAGCCAGTCACATTTCTAATAACCGTTGAGCACACAGTATAACGCATAGTTGATATCGTGTAATATTCCCTCACTGTTTTCATAAACTGGTAACATTCACTTTGTTCATTATTGTGATTACATTCTCTTAACACTTGTAAAAGTTTCCCTCAGTTTATGTGAATTTTTCGAATCTTGGTTTTAACATGACAGCTTCCATATTCTTTTGATCGTCACTATTGACTTTAGACACAGTTACTGACTGTTACCTACTCTATCGGAGCACTTCCTCTTCCTTTCCCTTCCTTAACCGCCACAGATAACCTAAGTTTCGATGCTTGTGGGTAATTCACATATATTTTGTCAGCAGTATAAAGATTCCTGTAGGAATATTTGAGGGAACACTTGTTTTCACTAACTTTATCATCAGGCTCTACAGTTATAAATCTATAATTATTGTAATATTTTACGAAGGCCATAAAATAAGACATGCATTAATTAATTTGACGATGTTGTATGTTAAGAATGGTAAACGTTTGCGTCTGTGTGATTATTAGAACTAGTTGAATTATTATACGCGCATCAGTTCAGTGAATATTACAATCACACATTCCTGATGAGTCCCTAATAGCACAAAACGTAGGTCCAGGGTTTCCTATCGATTGCTTCCAATAATCACCGTACATCTCAAAGTAGTTCACGCAATGTCGATTCATTTAAACTAGGAACAGTATTGCAGCTTGATCAACAGAATTTTATTACCACTTTGAATTAGGTTTCTCTGCCAACTGATTTAAAGCATTTTCAACACAATGCTATTTATCTCGTCTCTGAATGGGTATAGTGATGTAAACAGGCTTTTTCCGTGACAATAACGTTATAGGCCTTACTGTACAGTGAGCTTATTATAGATTTATGAATTTCTTAAGATGACCATTCTCCATCACTGTTTTGTTTGTACCACTACGACCAATCTCATTTAATCGGCCTTATATTATATCCCATTTGCATTAAACTAGAAAATGCTATGACAACTAAATGCTGACCTTGGTTTTTCAAAGATCGATCGTCTGACTGAATTATTTGTTATTCTGCTTTTAAGTGTCTAAGAAAGGAACCTGGTTGTTTACCTACACTTCATAAGGAAGCCCGATGTCGTTTTAATGAGTGCTAAGTTTATGCGAGAAAAAATTCATACGCTCCTTTTTCTCACAGATAACAAAGCTGTCATCCACATATCTCTTATTAAGTGATATCAAGTCTTCAGACAGGTTTTCATCATGTGCCTTAAAATGTCAGTTAATAATGGCTTCAATGGACTACCCGTAGCAACCCTCACGATACGGCGAAGATATTAACCTTCAACTATGAACTGGACTTTGTCAGCGTATAATAGTGACAAATCTTTAAGAATTTTTAAGTGAACAGGTAATGTAAAGTCTTCATCTAAAATATCAATAGTCTTTTTTAGATGTACATTTCTAATCAAGGAATTCATGTCAAAAGAACACACATTTATCGATTAATATTGATTTCACCTTAAATAATCCACTAACAGAAAAGAATCTTACAAAAGATGTGGTCAGTGAACAAAGCATTGATGGAGAATGTTCATCCTAAAAAATTCATAAATCTATAGAAAGGTCAGAGTATGGTGAGACCTACGACATTATTAGCGCTGATTAAGCCTGTTTACATCACCATACCCATTCAGAGACGAGACAAATAGCTTTGTGTTGAACCACTTTCAAATCAGTTATCAGAAAAACGTACTATAAAGCAAAAGTCATTATTGTTAGAGAAACAAGGTCTGTGCTTCAATGAAAACCTAAACGGCATGCAAACGGTTACATTACATTCCACTGTGTTTAATAATTTTATATGTTTGTGACCACATGCATACGGAAGAGAAGTATTGTTTTACAAGTCAGGGTACCTGAATATGTACCTAAATGCTCGCTTACCTAATGAAATCACATAACCCAAAGGATTTCATAATCAAACTGACACTTTTTGAACGACTGTTAGATAGAGTATTGACATTATCAAATCATTTGACTTGGAGTTATGTGAATAATTAATCTTATTGTGTAAGTCATTTAGAAATGGCTTCAGTATACTCTTCGAATAAATAGACTCAGTACATGTCAAGGTGTATGGTGACACGTATATTCAGTGACTTTTGTAACGACAAAATAAAAACCACATTTTTACTCTGATGTATCACACTTTATATGTAAACACATTTACATTCAATATCTATTGCTTCTCTGTATCAATGTTAAAAAACGGATATTATTGTTTGGTTATATACATATACTGATATACTACCACGTTGGTTGAAATATAAACACACTCTCCGCCGTCTGTTCTTCTGCTTTATTGGCCACGGTCTTTGATTGAAGATTATAATAGTGTTATAACAACCTTTCAGGCCGTCCCACACTACGTTAGATTTTTGGCCCGGATCATTATTAAATAATACTATTGGATTCAATCTTTCTTATTACGACGTTGTTGCCACCACGTGCAGATGAATCTTCGTTAATCAGGTGAACTCATTTGTGGTTGTTATCTTGGAGAGCAGCTTACAAGTAACATTCATTTCATAACAAGTGTTGTCATTTTTTGTTTAATATACCACTTATATTGTAACTGTAATTTGTTGCCTTTTGCTTTACTAATAGACAGACACTTAGGGTTGTAGTTTCAACTCTTTTTGGTATATTATTGGTAACCTTGCGTATTGTTTTATCTTAAATAAGCTCTTTTACTGGGATCCACCACAGGTGTTTGGGAAGTCCACAATGAGTCTCAGTAAGATATCATGCTTTCTCAAGGATCTAATGAATTTGATAGACGAACTAAGATATGACTTTTTTATTGACAGTTTGGTGGGCATGATAATACCCTATCTAGAAGATGTTCTTTAAGCACCAGTTTGATCATGAAATCCCTCATACTGTCCCAAAATTCAATCTTGTTAACTTTCACATAGTTTTCATCTAAATAAACAAACGGTATAGCAGTGGGATTCCCAGTGTCTCTGATTGTTGATAACTTATTCATATCTCCTATAAAATCGCATATATCTACTAGTGAAATTAGAACACGCATTTAGCACAGATATGTGGGTGATCGAATTTTCATAATTGAAAAGACTTTCTTAAGAAACGTTTGTAAACAGATGAACGCATTCTCAGCTCACATTAGGTTATCAAGTCAAACATTGCCAACCACAAATAAAATACGATACTCTAGGATGTAATACCAGATGTAATCGACCGTAACATCCATGTAGATCATGAATCATATATATACCCCACTAATCTCATTCCGTCCAACAAATATTCTTAAAATCAATCTTCTTGAAAAACCGAAACATTCATACTACTCTCCACTGTAGAATAACGAAAGTTCGTTTGATAAATGCTGATCGAAATCACCTAGTGACATAATATAATGAAGAACGGTGAGTGAACATTTCATCAAATAAAATAAAACTTGTGCAGAAATCTATTTCAATTCAGAATAAACTATTACAAGTCACCTGTTCACAACAATTCGCCATCGTCATATATTTCATTGGAGGCGGACTCAAATATAAACCATCCACTCTCAGCTTCAACTCAAAGTAAAACACCAGTTGTCTCACTAAACAGTTTGCACACAGTAAACATTTTCAACATTCATTACTTGAAAACACGTTAGAATCATATGAACAGACCAAAATGAAATACATGCACAAAACAAACATTCCAGTAAATTAAATGAAACCGAAGAAGCTATGTTCTCAATAACAACACATGGTACAGCCGAACATCACAGAATAGCAACAACGATAACAATATTAATAACAATAATAATAATAATAATAATAATAATAATAATAGTAATAATAATAATAATGATAAGGTAGAAATCGCTTCTATTCGTAAACAGATTAGACCAAGAAACAGAATGATTCACATCTGAAATCTAATAAAACAAGTGGGTAACATCTCGTACGTTGATAAGAAAGTTCAGCAATAACATTCTGTTCATATATCTGGGTAGAATAAAATTTATGTGAAGATCATTTGGACCATTTGACCACCTTCCTTTCGTAGACGAATTGATTAATTGGCTCTTTTGAGCCAATCGGTAATGTGGCCAAATAGAACGGTGTATCAGCACCTAAAAACATCAAGAGAAGCACAACATTTTGCCTAAGTGATCAGCTACAAAGACTCACGAGTGATGTAATTTTCCTAACCACCCTATTGACTGCGGTGAACCCAATCCGACATGAAGTTCTTACTGACATACGTCGGCTGGTAAAGGAATAGTACACATTTTTGACGAAAATCGATTCCTCGAATAATCAGAAATAACATTGTAATTACTTACATATGCTTTAATATAAGTTCACATCACTCCTACCTGAGTACATTTTTCACATTCCTTATGAAATCTGATCTCATACCTGACCCTAGCTTATAAAATTGTAATCTCTGTTCAAGTGATTTTATCAATGAAATGTAGAGATGAAACGAGTTTAGTATATCGTGACTTCCATTGTGTGGTTTCACGAAAAACAAACCAGTATCAAATAGGGGTTTATTTGAAAATCTACAGGTATTCGATCACAATGATCACGTACTTCATACCTAAAGTTCAAGGGAATATTCGGGTTTCATGAAAAATCTTGAAAACAATTTTGCAACACAAAGTAAATAAATTCTTTATGAATTTAGACTAAAGATCAAGGAACATTTATGGGATGCTATTAAAGACCGAACATAATTTCTTCTTATTATATTCGACTGCACTTGTTTTAGTGCGCATTTTCCCTTCACGTTACAGTCAATCATCACATTCGACAGTTGAAACCCAAATGCTAGACAATAGTACGCTCTCCTGATGCTCAGCTGTTCCCGAACTCAACAAAATAATGGTCAAATGATTCTGTCAAAACAACTGACTTTTCAGATAATACATATATACAAGGATATAGACTCACCTTCATCCGTTGTCTTCACACCTTTATGGTCAGTCATATCAGTGTCAACAAAACCAGGACAACACTGTCGAAATGATGAAAACGCGAAGATAAAGTATCAGAATCTAATTGAACAAAACTATCAAATGTTATGTTAAGATTAAAACCATTCAGTTCCAAGCAATCACAAACTCTCAAATAATCACTTTAACAATACCACTCACGAAATTAATTACTCTTAGCCTTCAACAACTGAGACAATTACCTTCCCTAGGCACCGACTCAACTATTATAGCAAATACAAACCAAGTTCATGGCACCCTAAACAACCTCGATTATTCCAGTTGAAGTCTAGCTGAAATATTTCTAAGTTACAGTAGGTTTTTAAACCATGGAGCAGTGGAAAATTAGTCACACTCATCCAGTAATGGTGTACCTAATACAGAGATATTGAGATGCCGAAGACATTTCTGGTGAAGCTTGCTTCCAAAAGAGCAGTACTGTAAACAAATTAAAGATAGTTTCAGTGTGAAGAAACGATAATTATTACTATCCAATAAACAATGTGTAGCACTCGAGTGAGGATTTCATTCATTACATGAGCGAATACCTGACATTTCAGTTTACTTTTCAGAGTGAGTTACTTGAAGTATAATGATAAATATGTACGAATATTCGGCAATATTAAACCGAATAGTTTGACAGAAATTTGGCGCCGAGTATAGAGAAGATATTATATGCGAAAATTACATTTGAGATCATCTAAGCGGCTGAAATCTAAATAACTCCAGACAAGTTTACTGGACGAAACGTTGGAATTGTTTAAATTTCAATCACTGAGATTATTTCAAATATAATTTTCAGATACTATGAAAGTAACAACACAATAATACTTAGGTCATTTCAGCATAATTTCCGAGGAAGTGAATCAAAATAACTGTGCTTCCCAATCCAAAAAAAAAAAAAACCATAATTTTAATCAAAATAACTATTCTTAAAAACAGAGTGACTTTCATTCCATTAGGACTGAAAGCATATACCACACCAAGGATCCTACGGCTTAGAAAATTTTAAGTTAATAACAATCGCATATGAATAGTGTGTTGTGTACTACTTTTAGCATACATCAGGACTTGAAAGTAGAGTTTTTACCGACAGAAGGGGAAAATGGAGAGAAGAGAAAGGAAAGCAGAAAACAATCGAAATACCAACAGTCATGAAGGAACGATGAATTTTGTATGGGACAACTTAAGAAAGGTGGACAAATAGTGTATTTTCATATTTTACAAATACAGTGTGTGATCCTGCATAAGACAAACATTTTGTCCACCCTCCAAGAATTTGTTAATTATGATAGGGCTTAAACACAGTTTCTGTCTAATTCTTTCTGATATTCAGTGCAACAACGTAATCTCGCTGAGTGAACGCGGTATAAAGGAGTGGTTAACGGGAAACATGACCTTCAATACTTGCTGTACAACAAAGAACATGTGTCTAACTTTATAACATGAAACAACAAAAACGCCGTATATTCATTATGTACAAAATATAAGTAAATCGAACTACAACTCCGTGCACACACCGCATAATCCAACTGTTACAACAAATACTACTCTTAGTTTTGTTATAAGTCTAATCCTATAATTAAAACGATTTATACAACAGGAAACACAAATCGTCACAATATCGACAAAACAAACTAACCGAATTTATCACAATCCCTCTTGGATCATCTTTCAGCATTTCACCAAAAATAAATGAAGCCTTTGTAAGGCCTATTTTAGATACCGCATACGCACTTGACACCCAACCTTTCTCAGAATAAGTACCATCCTCAGCAGACCTAATAATAAATTCAAAGCAAAAGCAATTATATTTGAGACAAACAGAAAGAACTATATGTTACATGAAACCTTAAACTCCTGTAGTTTCACGAATCTGAAACCAACCATACCACCAAAGAAATTCACAAAAGTAGTATATAAACGCGACACAAATTGTTGCCTTCCAAATTTCAAAGTTATGACTAAACACATTTTGTGTAGAAAAGACACCTCGCAAATTAACTACTTACGTTCCAAAAAATTTAACAATGCCGGAAAACTTTTAGAAAATACATTTCACAACAGCAATCAATTCGAGTTATAAAATTATGGAATCAAATCAAATCGGCTATAGTACTCAACACCAACCTCAATGAAAAAATTAATTTACCTTACAAACTCCGCCATAAGTTCTTTTAGTTCGAAAAGATTCATTTTGCCGACAAATTTTTCGTACAGATCGTCACTAAGTTCCATCAGATTGGACAAAGAAAGAGTAGAAGATACGTTGACGACTCTAAACAGTAGGAACTAATTCTTCTAGCTCACCTGGCATTTTCAGCCAGTAAAGGAATGAACTCTTCCGTGAAATCGACAGTCGAAGTGAAGTTGGTGTTAACAGTGACTCGTGCTTGCTCGCCATGTGACTCTGGAGTGTCAGCCTATAAAGACATATGAGATTTTAAGAACAAAACAACTTTAAATGCAATCCCAGCATTATTCACTGCAATGTTGATTCCATTAGGATAGTTTCTCTCTACAAATGTTAGGAACGCTTTTCGACTATCTCGATCAGTTATATCTAGTTGATGAAATTTAACATCAAGGCCCTTGTTACTGAGCTTCTCCACAGCTTCCTGACCAAGCTCAACATTTCGAGCTGTTAAATTATCAACCAACAACTTCTTACCTGTTAGATAAATATCCCACTCTCCTGATGTCCCATAAAATTCTGCAAGCTTTTCAACAATGGTATATCCAATGCCTTTGTTTGACCCAGTTACCTAAAGAGGAGTAATAAATTTTTTGTAAGATGAGTAAACTCATCATACGAATGCCAGTTTCATGATAGCACCAAAATACGGATAAAATACCGTCGTGTACTGAATCCGTCGACTAGCAAACCTACTGAATGAGAACTAAATGTGTTAAGCAATATGTTGACAATTTATCAGGGCAATATCTGAACACTTCACACGCCTACACTGATTGAATTTCAACTACCAATCATAATGATGCTTGCAATCGGTAGTTTTCTAGTACATGCGATAGAACATCTTTCTGATTGGAAAATACAGAATCATTACCTAAAAAGCTGGCATGAACAACGCGATACAACCAATAATCCCGTTATTCGTTAACCAATAATTTATTAACGATAAGTTGTGTCCTTATTGAATGAGTTGACGCCAATGATCACTCAAATAAAATAAAATAAGTGCTTAATGATGTAATTATTGGTTCAAATGCGCTCGTGTTTGGATCCTTCTGAGCTCTGTGGTGTTAAAACACAGAAACGCGTTTCTATGTATTTGCTCCAGACATTATCCTCTTTTAGTGACTTCTATAAAGAAGCCGAGATTACTTATGTTTAAATAATTGGATCAAATGGAGGCATTGGATATAGCATTGTTGAAAAGCTTGCAGAATTTTATGGGACATCAGGAGAGTGGGATATTTATCTAACAGGTAAGAAGTTGTTAGTTGATCATTTAAAGGCTCGAAATGTTGAGATTGGTCTGAAAGAGGTGGAGAAGCTCGGTAACAAAGGTTTGTTTGTGAAATTCCATCAACTAGATACAACGGAACTTTACCTGTGGCCATTCTAGGGTTAATGCCGATCCCAAACCTGGGTGAAGGAGGAGGATTGAGCATACGGACAACGATCCCATCCCATTGAAATCAACCTTGCTAAAAAGAACGCAGACCAGAATAAGCTATTTAAACCACATAAGCTCTGCTCACCTAGTTGAATAAAAAAATTATGACGCCTCATGATAAAGGCCGTAATTCTTCTTAAGTTATGAGGACGATGCCTCTTCTAACAAGCAGAACAACAATTAATGTAGCTATACAGAATGTCCGGACAATGTGGGATACTGGAATGACCAGTCGAATAGCTACAGAAATGACTAGATTCAACTTGTCCGTGCTCAGAATCAGTGAAACCCGTTGGAACTAAGCTGGACAGAAATGGATAAATTCAGGAGCGGTGCTGCTGTACTCTGGTCATGAAAGACTCAGCACACTCTCCACTTCCAGATCAACATGCTGGATTCCGTAAGGATCGATCATGCACAGACCAAATTGGACACTATGGATCATTGTTGAACGATCACTTGAGTGGAACTCGTTACTATTCATCAACTTTTTTGAACACAAGATGGCATTTGACTGCGTGGATAGGAGAACCTTACGGAGCTGAAACGTGGAGAACTTCCACAACCATAGTCAAAAAGTACACGTTTTTATAAACAATTGTCAACGTATGACACCGAATGTCCGTTGGTCGGGTATCATCAGCAATAGCCTTCTGTGGGAGAGAATAAACTAGTTTCTACCTGTAGAGGAAATTGGGAAACGACGTTGGAAGTGGATAGGTCACACATTGGGGAAATAATCAAACTGCACCACGAAGCAAGAGCTAACTTGGAATCCTGAATAAAAATGGGGAAGAGGAACACCAAAGAACACACTGCACCGAGAATTAGAATCAGACATGAAAAGAATGAATAGCAACTGGAAAGGACTGGAAAGGATTTCCCAGGATAAAGTTGTATGGAGGATGGTGAGGAGAGGCCTACTCTCCTCCACGAGGGGTTACAGGTGTAAGTAAGTAAGCAAGATGTAACGGATCAGGATAGCTGAAAAACGATGCATCGAATGTAGCTAGGCTTCGTATTAAAAATTCACCGGTTTCATAAATACTTAGCAATTATGTAAGTTCTACCTGTGATTATATGGTAAACATATTTTTTTCTAATCCACATCAATAAATGAATTTCCTGTTGATCACTATAAATTATTTTCCTCCTACTTCACATTTTCACTTGTTTTGACCTGACATAGTGTGGAGTGATGAACCACATGCACACATCTCTACTCTCTAATACTCACCACAATCTACCTCGGTTTGAGAAACGTGGTTATCATTTCTAGTCTTTACTTACCGAGGTGACTCGTAAGCCATTGCTGTTATATCATGCGATTTATAAAATTTTTAGATATCTGTATAATATGCATTCTGTATAATGAGATAGAAGTTTGAACATTGTCTTAGTTAATTAAAACTGTTAAATATAATTAAAGTTATTTCTATAGCACAGAGTTTGCTGCTGTAATTTTACGCAACGAACTTAATTTGACACTGTAACTTCTTTGTAACTGGCTGTTCAATAACATCGTTTTAACAACAATTGTTTGAACGTATGCCATTCATTTAATTCACTCACTTCTAAACTGACTAGTTTGAAAATTTCTGCTCTTCATTTGTAGTTTGCTCAACTGAAATCACTGAACATATAGAACTCAGATGCTGATTTTCAACTTTTATCAGGTAAAGCAGCTAATCTGGCTTACCAATGATATCTTCCTATCTAAATGTAGTGAGTGTGAATATAAACATCATATCCTGTGTATACGTTACAGCTTCAAAACCAACTCAACTAAAATGATTTTGACAAAGAGACCTCATTAAAAAGCGAGGAACAGAATCTTTGAGATCATTATGATCCATTTGAAAATGAGTGGTCTCTGTTAAATATCTGTCATTGGATTATAACAACGTAATTGTGTTGAGAGCAACGTTTCAATCCTTGACAGTGTTGAATGGAATTCGAACTAGTCACTCATGGTTCCTATGTAGTTTCCTTCTAATTTCAAAAAAATGTGATTTAAAGTAAAAATAAATTTTATTATATCCAAATGGATTTTTAAATGGCTACATAATTTTCGCATTTGTATCCTAAAAATGAACATGCAGTTGTAATAAAAATGTTTATAAGATATAAGTTCAATTACTGTTCGTAGGACTGAGATTCCTAGGTTTCTAAAGTAAATAAGTAATAAAGTAGGCATTTCTATACACTATATACTCAATTTATATACTATGTGACAAAATAATGTCTTAAATATTCGCTGCTGATGATCACTAATTTTAACGTAATCGAGTGTCTTAGTAACATCATAAATGTTTTTTAAAGACAATGTGCATTATCGATGCAGCAAACAATTTTTGTATTTTGAAATATGCACCGTCGATTCAGAATTCGAGTTTGAGAAGTAATATCACGGTAATTCTCGAACGTACTAAGTTATAAGACGCCGGAAATAACTTATAAGACTTACAATGGACACATAAAGTATTTTGGAAATGCCTAAGAGAATGTCAGTTATTTATATTTTTCTTGAACTTCCCCATATTGTACTTAGTCTGTGCAGTTGAAATGTCATGATAACTAATGATGAGAGATTTAATTCTGAAAAGTTTTAACGAATTCTCACATTTGATTCGGTCCGAGAAAAAAAGAAGTACTGAAAGTTTGTACGTGAAGCAATTATTCACATAAGAAATGCGGTATGATCAACTGACACAATAAAAATGTGAACAATCTCATTAAAACAAATGGGTGATAGGTTAATTGGTTGACTCCTCCAATTACTATTTATTATAAAATTATTCCAGAAAAGATGTGAAAGGTACGATTTCGTGTGAAGTGAAAAATTGGTGACTTTGAATCAGAAACATTCGTGTTGATTTAGTGTTGCCAGACTTTTATATTTATATTCAGCAATAAATCTCTTGATGACAAACTTTAAGGATAAAGTGATACATCGATCCCTATACAACAATCCACTGTTATGTTATTAATAACTGATGTCAGAAGCTGGTTAACATTTTAAGTAATACAAACATACATAATACGAAGAGTTGACTATAATGACTTGTTCAACAAATTATTTCTGATATCAATTATCGTTAGACGTTACATGAAATTGGTTCGAGTGTACATGAACAGTGAACACTGGTTTACATTGTGTTGTGTGTTAATCCGATAGTCACGAGAAATCTATAATTCAGGTCAATTATCTCCTATATATCAATTAACTAATCAATTATGAGGTCATATTCTCACACAACAGTCACTATTAACTAAATCGTGAATGATTGAAATCGAGTGATAAAAGTACAAATCAATATTACCTCTGAACAAGCGAGTTATTTATTTCTATCCTCCTAGTTAGAATTGTTAATTCGCAATAGTATGTTCTTTATAGATAATATGTAAACTTGAGATTTACAATGGGGAGAATACAAAAATACAGTGATACAACTATCTACTAACTAAACAAACAAAACACAAATGATAATAAACTGCAAAATAGTTACAGAAGTTTTAGCATTGCCAGTAAACGCCACACTGTACCAGTATGTTTATTTCATACTTTGATTCTGAGAAAATTCCAGAATTTTGTTATTCCTTCTGATGTCTTCCGATCAATGTTTCTCATGCGGATCTAACAGAGAAGATCTTGCAAATCAATGAAGAACATACTACTGCGAATTAACAATTCTAACTAGGAGGATAGAAATAAATAACTCGCTTGTTCAGAGGTAATATTGATTTGTACTTTTATAACTCGATTCCAATCATGCACGATTTAATTAATAGTGACTGTTGTGTGAGGATATGACCTCATAATTGATTCTTTAACTTAAATAGATAAACTAAAGTACATATTAATATGAGCTGAACTAATTAGTACTTTGTATGATTCTCATTTATTTGAAATATCTAGTCTACTTTTACTGGAGCAATAAAGATTTCAGTTTTTCTGCTTGGTGATATTAACTAATTCAGATTGTGTTGATTATTACTTTTCAGTTACTGTTTTATTCACAAAGCTATACGGACTAATCTAGAGGGTCTGTTATTGACTGAATGAAAAGGGTATGTACTTCTTGTGTTTCTGAATCAATGTAAATGATCACTACGTTTTCATT